TTTTTAAATCTTTTTTTTAATTTAAAAAATCACATACACGATATATTTTATTTTTAATTAAAATAAATTTAATCAATAATTCTTTATAATTTTTTTTATTTTTTTTTAGTTTGAAAAATCACTGATTAAATATATTTTTATTTTTATTAAAATAAATTTTATCAAAAATCTTTTTTAAATCTATTTTTTATATAAATGTAAGTACTTTTTTGTTATATTTGTTTAATTTTATAGATCTAAATACTTTTTGGTTCAAAAAATGTTTAGGGATTTAATCATTCAAAATATGAATGTTCATTAGGTTTTTTTCGAACTTTTTTCACTATCTTACTACATTAACTAGTTGTACAAGTCATAAAAATGTATCTAACATGTTTTAGAAAAGTTCAAAGAGTTATTTAACATGTTTTGGATTGTCCAATGACTTATTTGTTTCAAAAAATTGATCAATGAGTTATTTAACATGTTTTAAATTGTCCAAAGACTTATTTGTTCCAATAAATTGTCCAATGAGTTATTTAACATGTTTTGGAATGTCTAAAAACTTATTTGTTCCAAAAAATTATCCAATGACTTAATCATTCCAAACACTATAATCCATTAGTTTTTTTAGACTTTTTCCTTAAATGCTTATCTGAACATTCATATAAATTCACATATGCATCTTCAACATATTTTTTTTCCCAATTATTCACATCTGAATAAATATTAAAAAAAAAGACCAATTAATGTTGAAGATTCATCTAACCTGACTGGTTATTATTTTTGAATAAAAAACACTTATAATTATTATTAAAAAAGAGTATCATTGGAGAGAGGGAATAGGGTTTTTTTATTAAACTAGTCATGGACTAATTTCAGGGCAACCATTTACTTTACAGATAGCCCGAAGTCTTTGCATTTGAACCTCCGTGGCCACAAGGGGATTTTTATTTCTACTTAGATATAAATATGGGACCTACTGGTACTTTTGACCTTTGGAGTCAAACTCAAACCAATCAGACACCATCTTTGTGGTCGAGGGAATAGTTCGTTGTATCATCTTTGAATGCAACACATTCAATTTCTAGCAAAATATACTCAAAAGGAAACACATCAAGAACAATGAAAATTTGCAGCTAATTACATTGAACACAGGAACATCAAAAAGAATCTTTACATTACCAACGATTAGGTTTGAATTAAAATGTCAAAACAAACCCAAAAAATTGTTAAACAGATGATAAATAATGAGAAAAAAAATAGGTAGAAATTCCAGAAATGTAATCGATCCTGAGAACAAATTGGAAGGAAAAAAAATCCCCAAAATGAAAATCTAGTGAATGATGTAAGTCAAAGCCAACGCAACCACCATCAACACATACGCTACCCCTTGATCAATTGCTGCACCTAATCATCACCAAAATCAATCCAAAATTCAATAAACGATTTCAAACATAGAACATCAGCTCGTCATTCCAAATCTCAAGTCACGTCATCTAGATCGTAAATCAATCGTAAATCCACAGACGAAATCGAACCAAAAAATGCAGATCTGTTGTATAACTTTTGTTTCACCGATTTCGATATATATAATGAGAATCAGAGAGAGAGAGAGAGAGAGAAGGATAGAGAGTTACAGATCTAGAAAGAGGATGAGCGTACCATCGTTTGAAGGAGCAGGAGCTGGAGATGGAGCAGAACTTTGAGCATTCATTGATGGAAGAAGCAGCGACATAACAAGAGCAAAAACCGCCATTACAAAGTACATTCTCAAAGCTTCCATCTTCAAAATCCGATCAAATTCAACCACAAAAAAAACCTCCCTGACTCCTGTTTATCGTCTTCAAAATCCCTAGATGTGTTTCTGGGTGTGGATTATGAGGTTTATATAGGAAGACAAAGAATCGTGGGTAGGACGAAGATATGAAAAATTAAAAATAGAGTAAACTACAAATGTGGCCCTTGTAGTTTGTCAAAAACAACATTTGTTACCCCTACAGTTTTAAAATTACAAAATGACCATTATTCTTTATAAAAACATCCGAATCCGGTCCCTTTACTTAATGATCGCTAAAAGATTCTCTCTAAATGAGAAAATTTTCGGGTTTTTTTATCAAAAAGAATTACCTAGTCAAAAATTACAGGGACCAAAATCATAAAATATTTTTTAATTGGGCAAAAAAATAAAAGAAAATGGTCAATTTTAACGGAAATTTTCAACGTACGTTGAAGGGAGAGATCAAATTCGGACGTTTTAACCACAAGGGTGGTGCCTAATTGGTTTGAACTTGGCTTCAAAAGTCAAAAGTATCAGGAAGTCTCATGTTCAAATTCAAGGAGGAATAAAAATCCCCTTATGGTCACAGATGTTCAAATGTAGTGACTTCAGCTATCTGCAAAGCAGGTGGTCACCCTGAGATTAGTTGGCTCGCATAACGGGTTAGATATCCAGGTTAATCAAAAAAAATCGGATGTTTTCATAATCTACAATAGCCATCTTGTAATTTCGAAACTATAAAGACAAAAAAATGTTATTTCGATAAACCATAGGGACTAAATTTGTGGTTTACTCTAAGTATATATTTTTAAATTTGTTTTTGAGTGAAAAGAAACGGCTAATCTGGATTAGCGTTGTTAATAATGATTAGAAAGGGGGTTAAGGAAATGAGGAAATGGATGGAGGCCGTTGATGGAGGACACGTGTAGGGTGGGAAATGAATGCATGTAGTGGGTTGCAGGTAGGGTTTAGCTGGGTACAGAGAAAGGTTCTTTGGCACATGGGGGTTTGGCCGTTGTCCAGTGCAGACTGACCGTTGTGTAATTTTTTATTTTTATTTTTATTTTTTTTTGAATTCAAATCATTTGGTTGGTCGATTATTTTCTTCTTTCAAATAAAATATTATTTAATTTATAATTTTATATCAAATTTTAATCATTTCAATAATTAAATAAAATGCGTTATTTTTTAGTATTTGTTTTAAAAAATCTTATTTAATTAATTTTAAATTACAATAATTAATTTGTAAAATATAAGGGTATGTCTTGCTGTTTGAAGTATCTGCAACAAAATTTTTATAATTCTTATAAAACAGATTTCTATTTTGAGTAACGTATTTTGAGTAACGTATGAAAAAATAACGTATTTTAACTTGATTTCTATTTTGGATAGCGTATTTTCAAAACTTACATTTTGTAACTTAAAATGTAAAATTTTATACATTTAAGTACAGTGGTAACCGGTTGACCACTAATTTTAGATTAAAAAGTCCATGTCACTAAACACGTCAGCAAATAATACTGAGTTAAATATCATATCACTCGTCATATCAGCATGATAATCGATTAATGTTTCAATCGGTCACTCAAGTACTTAATTGTTTAAAACTTTACATCTTATGTTACAAAATGAAAGTTTTGAAAATACGTTACTCTAAATAAGAATCAAGTTAAAATACGTTGTTTTTTCATACAATTTGTCCTATTAACTATATGATTAAAATATTCCATATTTTATCAACTAATACACTTAAAAATACATTTCACATAGAATTATAATACGTTCTCTTTTTCATATTAAATTTTAAAGAATTCTTTAAAGTAAAAAAATAATAAAATAATATTTCCTTTCATTTTTTTTCTTTATTTTAAATAATCATTTAAAGATTTTATTGGACCATAAATATCACAAAATATTTGTTTTCTTTGTTTTATAGAATCTATTGGAGTACAAACATCAGAATCATTATTTTATTTTATTTTATTTTTTTAAATCTCAATTATATCACATGTATTTTTATTTTATGCCATTTTATATTGTTACTAATTTGTCACTTCACAACTAAGCGATTGTTTGGTAGTTGCTGAATGGTTTGATGCAAAATGATTAAGTGGTCAAAATAATTAAAAGACCCTCATAATATAGTACAAAATGATTAAGTAGTCAGAATGACTAAAAAATACTCTATAATATAGTGCAAAATGAAATATAATTATTTGGTAATTGTTTACAATGAAATTAGGACGCTGAATAGTTAAGAGAGACTCATGATACAAAATCATTGAGGGGGTTTTAAAATCATTAAAAGACAGACTTGTTTTTTGTCAAACAAGATTCACATCTTAAAGATTCAAAGAATGTCTCTTAATGGAACTATTAAGAGGTAAACAAGCAACCCCTAAGTAATTAACTTGTCTTTTCAACTAACAACTAACTTATTAATCAACAGCAAGTTTGTCAAATATAACCTAAATAACATATTTCCGTATATATTTGATAATTTTTTTTTGGAAAGGGTGTCCGGGCCAAAGCCCGACTAATCCCCGACAAATTTGGAGGCTAAACATGGCCCTACTTAAATGTCGCCAACACTCTCCTCCCAAGGCTCGAACTTGGGTTCATGACTATATCATGCCCAAGCCTTACCACTAGGCTGGAAGGTCTTTGACTATTTGATCATTGATTGTCAAGCAAACAACTTCAAATAATTAGTTTGATTTTAGTTGATTATCAAAATTTGTTAAGCATTCAATTCCATCAAAAGTTTATTACGAACTCCAAAATGTGCATAAACGAGTCTAAGGGGTCGTTTATCAAACGCTTACAATTGTCACTTACCTTAATGGGTAGCATTCTCAGTCATAAAAATGAATTGATGGTAAGCATTTATCACCCGATAATTGCTTACCGGGCAAGAGTTATCACCATCACTTAACGATTAAGACTTTTAATCGTTGTCTTTTCTTTTATCAGATAAAATTTCCGGTCTTTTTTATATTCAACTGATGGTTGGGAAAATAAATAATCTGATAAACACTTACCAGATAAATGTTTGATAAATAATTCGTGGGTCTTTTCCAAAGATGCCCATATCATTATTATGTTGTGATAAATGTGGAAATAACATGTGCATGAGCATGACTGCATGGTGTGATTGGGAATCAATTGATACCTTATAATAATTTTAATTAGGTTTTAAGAGGTTGAATAAAACAAGGGGGGAGGCTAATGGCACCCCTATCAATTGCCATTAGCACCCCTAAGACTAGTTGTCATTATTGTTTTTATTGTTTTTAGTGTTTTTTTATTTTTTTATTTTATGTTTTGTTTTATTGTTATTTTAATTTATTTTTAAA